CTCTTATTGCAGTCAATTGGAATCATTCCATTGACTTTAATAGATGTTCTTTCAGGTCCCAAATGAGAGCTGGTCAGAATTTTCCAAATGTGAATGATTTTTTTCATTGTTGAGATTTTGAATTTCAATCAAAAATGTTGATGACATTTTTGGAATATTCCACCCTCAACCATCTCTAGCAATTTCACTCTATTAAATCAAATTATCCATAATTGGATGTAAGAACAGATGGAAGAGCCTAGAATTTGACCCCAGTTTCATATTTTGATTTTTCATCATGTCAAATGCCAGTTCATTCTTTACATCTTTTCAATCTGACACCTGGGGAAGACAAAAAGGGAACACTCCAGTGAACGGATTAGAAAAAGGAAGAACTATATGGACTAGGAATGAGAAAAGCAATTCAGAGAACATAAAAACGGACTCAAACATTTAGTCCAAAATCCAGACAAACTTCTCTGAGCTCTGAAAAACTTTTCTTATCATTAAAATTTACATAACTTCACAAAGCTGTATTTTTTGGCTTTGGCCAATAGATGTCAAAATACCATGTAAAAGACTGTTCTTGCAGCCAGACCAGAAGAAGGAAGTGATCAAGTGGTCAGATCATCAGCTGATATAAATTGGTGTAGCTCCATTGAATTCAGTGGAAATGTCAGTTAACATCAGCTGAGGCTCTGGCCCAAGATGTTCAGCAAAGATTTGGATAAACATAATTTTCATTTCCCAGTGATAGGTGCTATATAAAATTCTTTAGATAGATACAGACTTATGGGTACTTAGCTAGACAGAATTGCTGAATCTTTTGGGATTCAACCATCACCAGTAACCTCTTCACAAATGGGAAAAGTTTCCAGCGTAATCTTGACACAGAGGGCCACTCTTTTCCAATGAAATTGCACCTATGCATCTGTGAGCTGAATATTGTGCCATATTGCTAAAATACTGCTCAGGATCAATCTCTCGTCCTTTCTTTTTCTTTCTTTCTTTCTGTCTTAAAAATGTGCCCATCCAAAACTCTGGGCACATGTTCACTTATAAATATACAATAATAATTGAGGACCAATGTCCCACAAAGTGATCCCTTACCAGATCCTACTCAACCTTTTGTTCAATCATCCCTCCCTGTATCTCTCCCACCCCCATCCCATCTTTCCTCCACAGTAGGAAAACCCTAGGAGAACAAATGGATCTTGTGATATGATCTGAAGATTTAACAAATTCTTTTTTTAGAGAATCAAACTGGTAAATGCATTCCAGGGTAAGGAGCCCCCTTTTGAAACTAATACAGAGAAGAGGCAATCTTTGTTCCTGCCAGAACTGACTCTGCCCGTATGGAAACCAAAAACTCAGTCTGAATTAAGTGACCTTTAGTGCAAAGTGCAATTAAAACTTCTGACAGCATAAAATGATATCTCCAGTTGGAGGCAGAGTTGCGGGTTGGCCAAACTGTCTATTGCCCAGAATTGGTCTGCTAACTTCGACTTCATGAATGTGATGGTGGAAGAAAAGGACCTCTTTCTTTCTTTCTTCCTGCACTGGCATGGCATAAGATTTAAAATACTTGGGCACAAATGAGTTGACTCAGTCTGAGATTTTTTACTACTGGCACTCTAGCTGTCTCCCCAGCACTTCCCTCCACTTCATCTTTCTCAGGTCATCAGCATTCCAAGGTGTCCCATATAGACAAAGCTGGAAGAGGGTGCTTAGGAGCCACACATAGTACTAACCATGGACAAAAGCTTGCTGTAAGAATGTCCTACTAGGCCATTGAAAGAGTGGTCCGTGGGCTGGGCAGGTCTTCTCAAGATCATCTGAATGAAATAAATGGCATAAGGAATGCCCTTGAACAGTAGTATTTTACTGCCATCCAAAGGTTAAGGCCAAAACTTTCAAACTCCAGTGCTTAAAGTTGAGGCATCCAGATAAGTAGCCTGATTTTTAGAGGTGCTTAAAATTGTGAAGCAGATCCGGTGATCTAGCTGGACTGCATGCAACACAAGTCAGGAGGGAGAAGGGTTTGCCAAGCTGGCAGAAAGCTCAGTCTTTTCACTCTTCCACACCTGGAGACGCTATGTGCAGAGTTAATCCACTGGCATAAATTAGAGCAGCCCAAGGGACTGAAACTGCAGCTGAGGATTGATGTAGCATAGTGACCTGCTCCCTTTACTCTGGTCACGTCCTTATACTAGTAGCAAGGAGGTAATGGAGCAAGACCCTTTACAGCACTGGATATAATCCTTTCAGGGTCAGACACCAACTCTATGACCAGATACTGTGTGGTGCCACACACTGCATCTAGCTGTGGGGGTTTTATAAACTTGTAATAAACCCCATAGCCAAAGAAATCAAAACACAGACAAAGCTTATTGCCATAGGCAGCCCAGATTGGTGATATCGTAAATTAAAACTGCTGCATTTCTCACTGATATTAATATATATATGAAACAGATCAATACACACTAAAGCTATTTTGTCCCCCCCTCCCCATTAGAGTCTCACTTTAAAAACATATGGGGATTAAAAGAATAACATGCTTAAAGGGAAAGGTTAGTTAATAAGATTTAGGGAAAATCTTTAATGAATACTTTGTCCTACTAAAGATCATTCTGAAATCTACATATGTTTGCAGACAGTTAGGGGCAAATTGTACATTGACAATTTACACCTGCTGAGACTATACCTCTTAGGGCTTGATCCAACTTCCACTGAAGTTGTTGGTTGTTTTTCCATGGACATCAGTAGCAGTTGGATCGGACCCCTACACAGTATGAAAACAGAACAGCAGAGAATCCATCGACTGTGTTTTGCTGTGTGGACTTGAAACTCTTCTATTCCACCACTTCCCTAACTTGTGTGGTTACTGATTGTAAAATATTGTCCATTCAAAATGTCTGTTACAAGAAATGGATGCATCATTGTTCTTTTAAAAAATAAAGCATTTTAGGGCCTGATCCAACGCCCAGTAAAGTCAGTTAGCATCTTTCTACTGACTTTAATGGGCTATGGATCAGGCTCTTAGGGCATGTGGCGATCCCATCTGGATGAGCTTTAATATTGTGTTTGCCTGCTATTGTATTTGAAACAAAAGCAATGAGCTGCATAAAGGGGGGGGGGGAGAACCCACACAGACTTTAAGAGTTTGGAGCATTTCTGAGATAACATTTTATTCATGTAGCTGCAGTATTTTTCCATGTACCATAGACTTAAAGCCAGTTGTATTCCACCTCTGTTCCCGCAGAAGATACCAGTGGGTTGTTTTTACAGCCCAGTTAGGAGTCTCAGAAGTAATGCAAACTTTAGGTTTAGCTTGTTAACTGAGTTCCAAATACTCCAAGTTAAAAATAAAAGTTATTGGAAAGCCAGAGCCCACTTAGCCATCAGTCTAACTGCAGCCTGCCACTAGCCAATGAATCCAAGATGCTTAGAAGTGACTTCACACAAACACAAACCTTCTTTGCCAAAGAAATTAGGGGTGTTTTGTTTGTTTTGTTTCAGATTATTTCCATCTGGTTGAAAAAACTACCAGTGAGTGTGAGCGAGAATTCAAACTGGATACAGTGTGCCAGCTATGCTAACTGATTGCCCAGAATGGACATGGAGCTACTGAAACCAGGTATGCATGGACTCATTCTTACCGATTCACAAACCCCGCCGCTGGGCCAGTGAGGAGGAAATCAACCTGCCCAGTGCTAGGGAATCTGACAGGTTTCTTGCAGGAAATCCTAGCTACTTTTCCTCCTCTGCTGTGCTTCTCTACTCCAGTATGTGAGAAAGGCCCAGCCCATCTGGAGCAGCAAATGGTGCAATTCACTGGAGGAGAAGGGCGGGGGGGGGGAGGATTAGAGTGAAAACAGATCCGGCACTGGATTTTGACTATGGAGATCATCTGACTTGAGTTAACAAACCCCAATTCAAATTAAAAGAGTGGGAGAGAAAAGTTTTCCCCCCCTCCCCCTTCTTTTTTTAAAACTTTCTTCTTGTGTCGGTGCTTGAAAGACAAAAGCTCCTCTCTCCTCCCCCCCTACAGTCCTCCTAAACTTCAGCGTGTGTGTGTGTGTGTGTGTGTCGGTGTCCTACGCTGGGATGATGGATGGCAGAAGTGCAGAAACACGCCAGCAGCAGCAGAGGCTCCCGACACTTTTTTAAACTCTCTCCCCTCCAAACTATCATCAATGAGACTCCTCGGAGGAAGAAGGGGAAAGAGCCAAGCTGCAGCCGGGATTTGTGGTGGTGGCGGCGGCCGCAGCAACAGCTTTTAAAAAAGGCACCAAAGGGAAGGACGTCTGGAAAGTCCCTCCCACGCCCCCCCAAGTTTATGATGGGGGGCTGAATGAGCAGCCCTGCTCCGGAGCAGCTGCTGGCACGGTGAAAACTTCCTGGGTTCTCTCTTTGGGTAAAGTTGATTTTTGATGATTATCCCTTTCTCTTTGGGGTGCCTGTGTTTTGAGAGGGAGAGTGAGGAGGGGGCTGGGAAGTGGGGAAGAAATTTCCCTAAACTGCGCCGGATCATGCTTCCCTCGCACAGGGGTAGAGTCCCCTGCTGCCAGTGTTAGGCGCTGCACTTTGCCAGCAGGTAAGTGGCACGGGCTCTCCTGCGCTGGTTACCGTGGGGTGGAGGGGGGCTTTATCTCAGCAACTTTGGGCAGCGGGTTTTTGGGCTGTTGTGCTTGGTTCACTTTCCTGCTCGTTTCCATCTCCGAGCTGGGGCGGACTGAGCACAAGGGTGCGGGATCCCGATCGCACCAGAGCAGAGCCTGAAACTGACCAGAGACGTGGTCGTGTTGCGCGGTGTTAATTACACCCCTGCCTGGCCACACTGGAACCCCGGAGTCGCCTAATGCTGATTCCGCGGGAGATCCCGGCCGTTCCGGGGTGTTTCCCGACCCCTCATCTCCAGCCCGCCGAGGTGTAGATTGCTCGGGGGAGACCTTTGCTGCGAAAGGCTCCTTCCTTTCCCCCCACCTCACTCCTGTAAAGCTGCTTAGATGGAGCCGGGGGGGCAGGGGGGGCGGTGCAGCCCGCTGCTTCCCTGTCCTCCGTCCGTGAATGGAATTGTTGCATGCATACTGTGGGGTGCCCCCACCCCTATTTTAGGGGTGCAGTGCTGCTGGAAGGGTACAGTAGTAATATTGGGACAGTGATTTCTACTGGGTGCAGTGGGGACCGGTGCTTAAGTGACAGTCACTTCCCTGCAACTTCTGCCCAGTGCTGCACCCAGGCAGTGCCGAGACCTGCTTGTTTTCCTGCTGAAGGTAGCTTTGCTCTCCAAAGTGATCAGTGAATTTACTACTGTATTTTAAGTTGCCCCCCACCCGTCTTTTTCTCCCCCTCCCCCCAGCCCCCGGGAGGAGCAATCTTTCAACAAGTATATTTGCTGAGGAATTTCAAAAATCCACTGCTGCAACTTGATCCCTGTGTGATGAGGAGCGGCTTGGAGAGAGCTGGGCGCCAATCCTATTAAGGATTTAGAGAGCAGAGAGTTTCCCCCTGGACTCAGTGGCTTTAAAACAATCGGGGGGATCGGCTCATCTAGATGCCTTTTCTGCCTCAAGTAATTGCTCTCATTTCCTAGGAAACCTGATTTTTCCAGCCCAGGAGATTAGGATGATTTTTCAATAAATAAAATAAGATCCTGTACAGAGTTTGCCTGCAATAGACTCTGTGACTTTCACTCTCACCATGAGGTGTGTGTCCAGCCAGGGACAGAGTGCCAGCCCAGTTAAAGGATTTTCCAATTGTACACATACTACTTGATCACAAACTTGGAAAGTGGGATTATTCAGAAAGTTTTGTGGGCCAAGATGAAGTATCTATCCCACAACTCTTTTACAGAAGGCAAAGCTCTCTTTTATCTATCATGTGTATATGTTCATGTATGTATACACGTAACATTGCAAAATTTGAAAATGTACTAGTGCAGCCCCCCAGAAATCTACTAAACCATCTTTTATTACATTGTTGATGGGGAAAAAATAAAATGTTAGTGATCCATGGAAAAAAAATACTAGCCCTGGGCTAGTGAGCAAGTACATTTTTAAAGGCTATTATATGTGTATATTTCTTTGCATATGAGTGAGTGTGCACATGTATATGGGTGTGTGTATGTGTATATATAACCAGTTATATATAACTGAACACAGTCTTAACTATGGAGTTACTACCACATCTGTGTATGTGTGTGTGTATAATGTGTGTATGTCTAATCTGTTTAGATTTCTCTATATTTGATACAATTAAGGATACGCCCTCCTTTACACATATTGAAACAAACATTTTATTGGGTTATGATGAAATTTATAGAGCTTAACGGCTATAGACAAAAGGAGCAGTTGTAAAACTTTTTTTTGCAATTGAGGCTCTTGGGATGTACAAGAATTTGAAAGTAAACGTTTCACTAGCATGCTGCATAAAATAGCATTTAAACAAATATTGTATTGGCATGCACTGTGGAGCTAGTGCCAAGAAAGTAAAGTAAATAAACCATGAAATCCAAAATATACAGATGTGGAATAGACTGATTTGTTATAAGACTTACCGATTTGATCTGTTTGTTCTAGCTACCTTACGTTTTTTAAAAAAGATTTTTTTTAGGTTACTAAAACTAATTTGTATAACTTTGCTAGGGGAAAAGCAGAGAATTCTGCCTACATTTTACATTTACCTGGGAAAGGAAACCCTGATAAATTATTATTTACACTACTTGATTGCTTGAAATGCATGGTAATTATTGTATATAGCATGTACCTTTGTTGAATTGGTTTGATTCAGTTTTTCTGAGCTGTGGATATGGTAATTTGCATTTGGGCTGGAATTCCAGGAAATTTTGACACCTGTCAAACTTTAATTTTACTAAAAAAGGGCATATTGCGTGTAATTAAAAATCGGACACATTTTTAAAACATGAATTAAACTCAACAGGATTTTTTTTAGTGCAGTTAGTTTTTTGAAACTTGTCATACTTTGATCAGATGACCTACCCAGAATACCAGAAAGTGCACGATTAAGTGAAGTTGAACTATTATTCTATGGATCCCTGTCTATCCAACCTTGTCTTGTATGTTTGTAAAAGAGCTAATCTTTAAAGAAAGGTGAGGTAAGATTCACTTGATCTTGAATGTTGTTGTCTTAAGTATGTGACTTTGAAGTGCCCAGAAATGCAACTGCTGTTCTTCAAAAAAACCAACAGATCTTGAAGACTGTTTCCAACTTCCTTTCAATGTCTCTTTTTTTCAGTGTGTCAAAGGGGATGTATACAGATGGACAAATATTATTTGTATTTGTATTAGCTCATTAATATGAGAAAAAAGTAGAGAATCGGGTCCAAATTTTCTCTGATAAACTGGAGTTGAAGTTACTTCGGATTATACATGTATAAATGAAAACAGAACTTGACCCTACCTCTCTAGTACATAACCTAGATTTTCATGTCACCTTAACTTTAAGAAAACAAACGAACGGGTAGTGTTGTTTCTTTCACCATGAAATTATATAAATGACCACATTTTTGGATGAGATTTGAAAAGCAATTGAAATGTTTACGGTAAAAGACTGGTATCATTTTGCTGTTTTCCTTACTCTGGTTACCTTAAACCTGAACCGGGTCTTTTCCTTACAGTGCCTTGCTAATGTCACCAGACAGAAAGGACTACTTACTGTATGATGGTTTTGGAATTACATCTTGGAGACTATCAGTGATTTAAAGATGATTAATTTTTTTCCTGATCCTGATATTTTACTTGGTGTTTTTAAAGCAGCTTTCAAACACTAGATTTATTGTTTTGGGACAAGGTAGCACATCAAAATAACAACACCAGGATGATCTCAATTCTTAACTTTAAAGTAGAAACCCAGTCAACTGCCTCCCCCTATTTTTGGTGGCCTACTGTAAGCCAGTTGTTTGTACTGCAATCTGAAAGATACACAAATACGCCGTGCTTTTTGTGCTCTGAGAAGTGCTCTGTTCACAAGTTTCCAAGTGCAGATTAGTGAAGATAGTGGATTCAGTAAACAGTCACCAAAATCTATATTTATTTGTGCAGCAAACACCTATCCATTGCTTCTCCACAAAGAGGCCACTTAATAATCTGGTGGAGGATTCTGAGTCAGTGAGTTTTTAAAAGAGGCTACTTTGGAACATTAGATGTGACTATAGCATCAAACTAATTAGTTGCCACTCCAAACCATAGCTTCCAGGGCTTCACAGAAATTTGATATTTGCACTTCCCACTCACAGTTTAGGCAGCTCATTCAATAGTCTGCATTTCTACTGATGGAGAAGATTGCAAAGTATTGGTTGAAAACTGCACAACTGCTTTATATACCTGTGTAAGTATTTTAAAGAACTGTAGCAAACATTGACCAGTATTCAGTATCTTACAGCTACTTCTGCTACATTCCCAATACCACCTAAAAATAGATATTCAGTAATTATGAGGGATAATATAACAAAATAAAACCAGCATGAATGATTTCCAGTACAAGAAGACATTGTGCTGGCAAGCAAGCAATAATCACACACATACATAAAAGTGTGTGTGTAAAATCAAATGAGAGAGACATAGCATTAGATCATGTAAACAGCTGATCAGGAACAGTTAATATGTTCCTTTCTGAAATCCATTGAGAAATCATATATCTGATCTTCCATACTAAGCTTGATATGAGAGGGATAAATTATTTAGGCTGCTATTTGTTTGTGTCCACTAGTTTTGGGTGTGCAGTTTGAGACATCTAGGGCCTGATTTTCAGAAGTTCTACGCAGCAAGAACTTCAGTAGGATTTATGGTTGCTCAGCCCCACTGAAAATGGGGCCATAGATGTTCTCAAACTGGACACCCAAAATCAGTGGGCATTTTTGAAAATAGAGGCCTTAGTGTCTTGTTCAAAGTTTGATAGTGTCCTGTTGATACATTTTTTCATGTCTCAAATCTTTTTGAGACTGTCACCTTTAAGTAGATTACAAATGTCCAGAAAGAATGAAATTAGAATTTTAGGTTCCAGAATTTATTATTATATTATTTCTTCTACCTTCTAAGCATTTATTCTCATTCAAAAGGAGTTTAGCAGCTTTATCCTTTAATTTTGTGAAATTGCAAGAGTAAGCTTTAAGCTATCTTTGACATTTTGGTTTAACTTGAATAGGTTAATGTGTTTTTTTTTTTTAAAGAAAACAAGTTGGTGGGAAGTGTGTTTTAACTGTGAGTACCCGATTTCAGCCATTAGCATAAGAAAAAAAGTTTTAGTGCATTTACTATTGTATTGAATGAAGAGTTCCAACAGTCAGGGAAAAGAAAGTGAAAGGCTGTAAAGAAATGATGGTCTATTCAGATTATTCAGCAGCCCAAAGCTCTGGTCATCTGCCTCTGAAATCTGTGATCGGGATATCACTTTTAT